TTGCAAGCAAACAATCAAATGTACGAGTTCTTGTTTACCGTGGATGCATCCAGCAATGCGGGCATACATATTTCAATTGATTTGTTATTGAACGTGGAGGAGGCTTTACTTTACTCAGTCATGTAACTCTTGCTAGCTTGTTTACTTTGTTTTTCTTAATTTTTTTTATTTTTTGTTTGTGATTTTCCGGAATTACACACAGCACCAACAACAGCACAGCGAATCGAAAGTGTTTAAAGCGCGGCAAAAATCGAAAAGGCGAACGAAATCAAGTCGGCGGTCGAAAGGTCGACGGTCGGCAGGTCGCGATCTGCTCCACCGTTTTGGTTCATCCGCACTGTGGGACGGCTGCCGACGAACTGAGGCGACAGCGACGCCATCCGCTCGTTTAAAGGACGACAACGACGACGACGAAGTCGCCGCCAGAGAAGGCTGCCAAAACACTCCTCGCCTGATAAGGATAACGGCACGAAGATGGGGACTCGGCACTGTGGGCTGGTTAAACAACTCGGGCGTATACACAATGCGACTCATGGGCCTAAAAACTGTGCCGATACGGTTGCGGGGAGGTAAATAGAAATGAAAAGCTTTCTAGTACTATTTAAAATTATTTTTTCTGATAATATGTAAATATTTGAAAACAAATTAAGTCTAAAATAAAAATGTATATATTGCAAATGTAGCACAAAACTGTTAAAAATATATTTATAGGTAATTTATGACCTTAACCTTAGTTAATTATTTAACAGGTAATTATTTTAACCCTAAGGCCAGCGCTTGTTAGTTTCATTTAGGCATTTAACTTAATGCCAAAACAATTTGGCCCAAGTTGGGAAAACAAGGCGAGAGTTTAATGATCTCTAAATAAGGTTATCTATTATGATATGTTTTAAATATGTATAAATTTTGATACTTCTTTTATTACAATATGGTTACTTTTATTCAATTTATATAATAGTTTTTAAGCTACCAAATAATATAATATTTATTATTTTAATTCAGCTCCCAAAAACCCTGTATTTCTACAGGTCCTCTTATCTCAACCGCTGCTGTGCGTGAGTATGTTTTTGCTTTTCTAATAATATGAATGCAAGCGTAGAGCAAATGTCATAAAATACCAGTCAAAAATTCAAAGTTGACAGTAAATAACTGCTTTGCATAAAAAAAAAATACATCAATGTTTGCTCAGCCAAACAATTTATACTAATTAAGGGGGGATATACATGTAAACCAAAATTTTTTGGGCAAATTTTTTTTTTTTGTTTAAAAAATAGTTCATTATTTAAAGAATATAGTGTGTAAGTTTCATTATCGAATTCCAACTCTAAGTGCCTCAAATCAAGTATGCACGCAAGGTTCACAAGTGTTAACGTGGGCGCATCAAAAACTTTAAACGTCTTTTTCTCAGCTTCTAATTTTTGCATTTCTACCTATGCTATGGACACGATTCACAAAAAACTACGTAACATATCGGAGTGAATCAAAAATTATTACGATCAGCATGAAATTATCTTCTATTTGAACCTACATGGTTGTTATAAAACTGAGTATTACTATTTTTTAAGAGGGTGGGAAGTGAAAACTGATCACCTGAAAATGGCATTTTTTCCTTCAAATCAAAATGTATATTTTTTGTCTTGATTTCTTTTTGGTTTTTTAGGTTCAAATAGAAGATAACGGTGTAATGAATACAAAAAAATTTAGTTTACGGATTTCGGACAGGAATTACGAGCTCTATCGTGTCCATAGCACGGCAACTTAAAGCTCGAGGCGCTACGGCATATGTTCCATAAGTCCGCCATTTTGTAAAATATTGTTTATATCTAATTTTTTAATCATCTCTGATTCAGCTTTTAACTATATCCAAAGTTTCACGACGATTGCTTGACTACTTCTTATAAAAACAAAATTCACGAAAAATGGCCAAATTTTGACCGCTTACATGTATATCCCCCCTTAATAGCCTGGACCCCAAAGTAATTCCCAAAACATTTTTTAGTGAAACGGCGGCATGTTAGTTTGATGCAAGTACTCAAGTGGCGAAAACTTTTCAATTGCGATTATGTATGTTTTGAACTCGACGAGTGATAAGCATCTCGCTCTCTTTCGGCACTCTCTTCTCTTTGGGAGAGCTTCGTGCGCACGCTCAAAAGCGCAAAGGTAAACAAACGAAACTTTCATTCATAAAATAGCAACAACGCAGCCGGCGAAAGAGACGGCTGAAGCGAGAGTGAAAGATTGGTGGGGGGAAGGGGGTGAGAATTCAAATGGTAATCAAAACAAAATTGAAAAGCTCTCCGCCGCCACATGTGCACATCGCGGTTTTGTGAGTCACACAGCGGGGCCAGTGTCTGCGAATTAATTTTGAGCCGCCCACGGGGAGCTCTCGGTTTTAAATCTCATTACCAAATCGCCGTCACGCCTCATTGACGCCAGGTAGCCCCAATATGGCAGGTAAGCGAATATTCCGCAAAAGGAATCCCAATAATCGCACGGCAATTACAGCTGTAGATGCTGTAAAGTACTCTCACTTCAATTGCACTTAACAGCGGGTTCTGTAATCTTACGGTCTTTTGCCAACTCTGAATGCTACATCACCCTGAAAAAGCACGATTCTTTGACAGTGCAGCCAACAAGTTTTTTTGTTATTTAAAAAGAGGGTAACCATCTTTAATCAAATATGTTAACCTTATTATATTATAATTTCTGAAGAAGCAAAAGGGATATTTCTCAGAAATATGTAGAATATTATATTATATTATAGTTTATTAGTAAGTTTTAAATTTACCTATCTAGATAGATTCCTATTAACTGATATTTCTTCGGCACCACTGTCATTAGTTAACTTTTTGTCGATAGTCAAAAGCTGCTAGTTATGAAACCGGTTCTCTTTTAAATTCTTATTGTTCTCTCCTACTCTCTTTTGAAAAGATTAAGAGAGAACTCCAAACAAATAATGGACTTGTGTTGGTGACGTTGCATGCCGGTTTTTTGTTATTCTGCCGCTGCCGTTCCTCTGCCGGTGATTCATCGATAGCGAACACAGCGGCGACGAATTCCAAAATTAAAGAAAGACTCTTTCTGGAACTCCACTAAGAATTTAAGAAAAGAGGAGGAAGAACGGAACAGGAATGTGGAAGCAGGAGCCTAAAGAAAGAAGCAACCTCTGGCCTTGATTCGGAAAGAAATTCCATTACATTTCCATTCCAAGCTTTGAATATTGGGGGGATAAAGGGAACTTGTATCAACTCAATAATAATTTTATATCTAACGTAAGAAATTGGTCAGATTCATAGGCTTAAATTGGTATAAATCATTCGAAAATTTAAAAATTAAATACAAATAATCAGAAATTGTCATCTAATTTATACTACTATTGTGTTCTTTTCCGGTTTACTTAGCACCCGAAAATGTCTCGTAGAAAAATAAAATAATAATAACAATGTTTACATACACACATTCATGAATCTGTAGGATTCTGTATCTGTGTATTTGCGCCACTCAATGACAGGTCATAAAAAACCCTCTCGACGAGGTGTGATGTCATGTCTGTTCCATGTTCTGAAACTTATGATTTATACATCTAAAACTTAATGGTGCATATAAAAGTATAAACGAGCCTGGAACCAGATGCTAAATTTATAGTTCCCACGTTCTCAAACAGCAAAAATGCTATGCATATTTTTTTATATCGGAATTGTGTTATGTTGACGATGTTTTCCCAAGATTTTAGGAGAATTAGATAATAGAACTATTCATTTTTTTAAAATGAAATTCATATAAAAGTAGCAAAAGTAAATGGAATTTTTATGAAATATAAAATACTAGAAGAATATTTAATCAAATCAAAGATTTTGCTGAGGTATAGTTTTCTGGTCTAGGTAATAGGTCTATCTAGTTATATTATTTATATTTATATTTTTTTTATTTCGAAAATAATAATTAGACAAGATTGAATTATGAGTTCCAAATATGTCAAGTTACTCATTAGTTAGTGTAACCCTCTTTTTAGTTTCTAGATTGTTAGTCAGAAATTAAATATATTGAATTATTAGTGATATTATTCATATTTTTTGTATTTTTTTTTATATAGTCATACAGTTTTTTAGCATATTAATCACACTGGGATTTCAGAATTTAGCCAATGCGGTTACAAGATAGATATTTCGAATGAGGCAAGCATCCCCATCAGTTACTTTGACATCCTTTTTAATTTTAGGACTTATAAATATCTATTTTGCAATAAATACTTATATTTTTCCCTATAGTAACTCATCAAATAGCAGCCCAATAAAGCCCACCATACCCTGCCTTACTATAATAAGTAGCTGTTGATGTGCACGGAATCCCAACCGCAGACGAGGCTACACACGGTCGACAATTGTCGCTATCACTTTGCTTTGTTGTGTTCCAATTGATTCGAGATCTCAATCATAGAGCGATGAATATTGTGCTAGGGTTGAGTTAATTGAAATGCAGATTAGTTGCAGTCCCGCCTCAATCAGTTTGCAGGGAATTAATTTAATCACAAGTGAGTTATCGATCGGAAAACTGAGGCAAGGTCAGCCAGCAGTGGACTTTCAAGGCCCCGGGATGCATTATCAGAAGAGGGGGAATGCCAGACCTATGGCTCACCAAAAATCCGTTTGGTGACGCAAGAAAAACAGTTTCCGGCCTTTACAGCTTTTGTTTTCCCGCATATTCTGTGGCTTTGTGGCCGCCATGAATAATGCCCAATAATGCTGCTGCGAACCACTGAATCGGAGCACCTGATATCGCGTTGTAAGGTACGAACCCCGATAACACCGCGGCGATAAGATAGCCGGGCGGGGCTGGCGCAGGCGCAGACGAATCTGTGGGTGCCAGTTAAGCGAACAAATTAGTAACCCATTTCGGATCGCACCTGTTATCGGCATAGCTCGTTATCTTATCGCTGACCGTGTATGCTCAGATTGCAAAAGCTACAAATTCTTGGCGACAATACCTAGCCGCAGGTTGACTTTCAGTGATATTTTCAGTTTAGTCGACGAACGACAACGATACGAACACGAATCATTTGTTGTAGTTTCCGCGTGAAAATTACAGAAAAGATTGTGAGTGCTCACCCAGTGATTAGAGGTGTCAGTGGGACAAGTGAATACTAAAATATTCCTACAAATTCCAGCTGAAAAACAACAACGAAATCAGCATCTAGTGCAAAATGGTATCCGTGGAGACAGTTGGTTCTATTTTCATCAAGGCCCTGAAGCTGGTAAGCATAAGTTACCCCCCATTTTTATTTTTCGTTTTCGGAATTGAGCAATAGCCTCTGTAGTCGCAATAACTTTGCCTGATAAGCGAGCGTTTTATCAACCCTGGCGTATTAGCAATATTACTCATACGCAGCGCTGTACGGCAAGGCGTGGCTGGAATGTGATTCACTCTACACAACATACATGACCTCATTGCATCCTTTTCGCGTCCTATTTGCAGATCATCAACCTGGTGATCATCTTCCTCTACCGCTGGGGCGATGGAGGCGAGTTCTTGGGCATCGGTGGCACTTGGAACCTGAACGAGGAGAAGAGCGCCGATGCGGAAATTGTGGCCTCGGGCGTTATGGTGGGATTCTTGATCTACACAGGATGCCATACGATTGCCTATGCCTTTGGCACTACCAAGCATAAGGGGTGAGTTCAGCAAGAGTCAGTCTCTCAGTATAGTTACATATTATGGGGAATTCTAATCCAAGAACATTTAACAGCAACAGAAAACCTTGGAAACAGTTTAATTCTTATGAGTTATAAACTGGTTTCTGGCTTACTAAGATATATAGAATTTTGTTCTTAGAGAACTTCTTATAAAGTGTAAGCTTTATAATTTACATCTAACTACAATCTTTCTTCTATTTTTTCAGAGAACTCTGTGACACCATCATGAACGTGGTTGGCTGCATCATGTGGATCGCCGTAGGCGGAGTTGCTCTGCATTACTGGAAGGGATACATGTCCGACGAGGGATTCCTGTACGTCAACTCGGAACGCCAAGTGGGCATTGCCATGGGATCGCTGTGCGTCATTGAGGGCGCACTGTATCTGCTGGACACCGTGCTGGCCTGCATACACTATTCGAAGGGCGACACCGACTATACCCAGTAAAGCGTGACAGCAACGGGGAGGATAATCGCAATCGCCGAATAGCACACACATCAACATTATTTGTCTTTATGCATAGAATCGTTTTAAGTGCAAATTAGTTTATATCCGCAATCAGGCTACTTTCGTAAGGGTCAAATGTCGTTGTTTTATACACTAACTGTTTAATATTTTCTATTCACGATGAACGTTTTACATTTTTTTGGCAAATACAAATAGTTAAGACCACGCCACGGAAAAATGCTTTTGTGAACAACTTGGGAAATTAATTTGGGGAGAAAAAGCAACCAGCATATATTTTTTTAGGAATTGTAATACAAGAAAGTTAGTCAAACTTATAGAAGAAATTCTAATATCATGCAAAGTAAACCACAGATTTCTAAACAATAACAAGAAAATAGGTCAAGAATTTAATTGGACTAAAACCGGGATTTCAGAATCACACTTTAACGCTCCGAATCTGTAAACAAATCGTTCATGCTTTTTATAGTTTTTTTTTCGTTAAGACCTGTTATTTCGAAAAAGACTAATATTAGTTTAAAAAAAAGGTTACTTTGTGGAGGAAGCAACCCAAAGTAAGTAAATATCTGTCAGTTTTTGCTTAAAAGAATATACATTTATAAAGCTTTAACTGAAGAATGAATAAATTATAAAACAAGTAAAGAACTAACTAATATAATACAGATACAAAGAAAGATAAGCCTTCGAATTTCAAAGGAAACTACTTTTATTTCTTCGATACAAAGGAAAAGCTTATGAGCAATTCGAGTGGTTTTCATTTGAGCCCCTTCGCACTTCCGGAGAGATTTAGCGGGTTCAATGAGGCATTGACCATTCCGAGTAAATTTCTGCATTTATCGAAAGAACATTGGCTAAAGTCATATACTGATGCGTCACCATTATGACCGAATCTGATAAGGGAACTCAACAAGTTACAAGTGAAAAGGGGTACCCTCTTGAGAGAAGACTGTTTAGAAATACAGGAAAAACCCTTGTTTATAGGCAAAACTATACCTGACATTCTTTTAAACTATTCGTCTATGTTACAATATGTTCAGAGTAAAACCTAGAATAGTAATTGTAATATATTCAAGGAAAAATTGTAATATATTCCGAAATCTACATTTTTAGTAGCACCGTTTTCGATATACTTTTAAAAAAATGTATATACCTTTGGAAATGAATCAACATTTTAGATGAGAGAGAATTCATTATAGAAAGAATAATAGTTAAACTAGAATAGAAAAGCAAAAATTGCTGTCACCTACCTGTTTCTTTGGATTCCCTTGCCCGTCCACGGCGTCCCGTTCCCTCTGCTGCTGCTGTTGGTGCTGCCTCATGCTGCCACTTCTGCCCACGCGTTGCGAACACAAGGCACATCGCCGTCCCACGGATCCATCCTCCAGATTAAGGGCATCGAAGAGCACCGCTTGATCCAGGATAAAGGAGTTCCGTGTCCTCAGATTCAACAGCTCCAGCGTTCGCGAATCCAGACTCTCCCGGTACACATTGTGCACTCGATCGAGGTTGTGCTCGTAGTCAGTATCCAGGTTGTAGGCACTATTTAAGCTGGCCATGCTACTCCTACCCTCCAATGAGGTTTTGCTTCTGCCATCCAACGAGGTTTTGCTACTCCGCTTCCGCCGCCTCACCACCGTCCTGACCGATTCCTCTAGCGAGGAGCCCAGGGGGACGGGTGTGCGCGGCAGAGTCTCACCCAGTGGCGAGGAAGAATGGGAGTGGGAGTGGTGGGCCAAAGCCGAGGGTGGCAGTGGGAGCTGGGTGGCGGTTGGCAGTGGCTGCTCCGCCAAACTCATTAAAGACTGCTGCCGCTCCAGCTGCTTCTCGTAACCGTTGAACTTGTCGTAGTCGATGAAGGACATGTTGGCATAGCTAACCATGTTGTCGATGGCCTGCAGGGATTGCAGCGAGGCGCTCCACTTGGGATTCATTTTCTCCTTCTTCTCCGCCCCGCCACTGCTACCGGTTAGTCCGCTGAAGGTGCTTTTGAACGAGGCTATCAGGGTATTGGATCGTCTTTTTTGGAAGTTCAACTGGGGATTATTAGCGGGTTCCGTGTGATTTAACGACAGTAGCGAGGCCTTGCGCTGAACCGGTGGCTGGAGCTCCTCCAACGGGGTAGAAGTAAAGGGTTGGGCGGATTGCCGGCGCTTCGGCGTCCTAACCGAGCTGGTGAGTTCCGTTCTCCGAAGGAGTACCGGTGAGTTGTCCTGCAGATCCGCCACCGAGGTCTTGCGCGGCGAGGCCGGCGAGGTGAGATCCCCCGACTTTTCCGTCTCCTCGGAAAGCTGCTCCAGCTGCGGCTCGATGAAACTCCGTCGATTTGGCCGCCTCATTTGGATCATCGAGCGACTCCGGGTAAACAGAAAGGGCGTCCGACCGGAGTCCACATCATCGTCAACCTTCGAAATGTTCTCCTTGCTGCCGGTCAGGTGATTGATGAACTTGGAGAACTTGTTGCGCAGTGAGAAGCTATTGGATCGCTCCATCTTGGGAACACTCTCGTAGCCAGGCAGTGTGGTTGCGCCCATGATGAGTCCCTGGTTCCTCCGCTCCGCCTGGTAGGCTTCCCGAAATTTCTGGGTCGTATTGATCGGCGCTGATGTACTGTTTTTGCTATTGTTGTTCGGCACTATATGGCTGTTGTTGTTGTTGATGTTGCTATGATTGTTATTATTGTTGATATTCGGCTGACTATTCTTCGCGTTCGTCGGCGTCTTGACTTTATTGCCATTCGGCAGCTGCTGTTGCTGTTGCTGCTGTTTCTTTTTCAGTGTCTTTTTCTGCGCCTTGGTCGCGCTCTTTGTCTCCTTGTTGGAATACATGCCGAAGCCAGCGGACTTCAAACCCCTGCGAAATATAAATTGGAGAGAGTGTGCGAAATTGGCTGTTAATAGACTGATTAAAAATCGGGTAATACGAGCGTTCAGCTTTTATTTGGACTCGCGGGCGGCCAGCTCGTATCAGCATTACGAAAGCCCCCTACTTTGGCCATACTCGAATGGCAATATCGATATCGCCGATCAAGTTCTGGGTTCTCATGAGCATGCAAGTTATTCGGAAAGAAAATAAACATAAATATTGCCTGCGAAGGCAGCTATCTGGTGGGGTTTCCCTTTTATATGCATCCATCTTTCAGAGATCTTCAGGATCTCTAAGATTTCACTTTCTTAAAGAACATTCTACAAGTCTTGTATTTCACAAGCTGAAACTTAAAAATTGTATAGTAAATCGCTTCATTATCTCACTCTTTTATAGACATTATCTATTGTTATGATTGTATTTTTAGAAGGACATTAATCTAATATTATGAGATTTTATATCTCGAGTGTTGATGTTACAAATTTGTGTCGTTTTAAAGAGGAGTGATTATGAAAAGAGTGACAGTATGACGGATCTATTATAAGCATCTTGAGTTACTTAAGAAAAAATTTGGAAAGCTTTAACTTTAAGGTCATATTCTTAAGAAATAAATAGAATTAAGTGTAAATTTTATATATAGAAGAGAAAACTCACAGTTAAGTTCATATTATAAACAAAGAAACAACTTTGCACATAGCGATAAAGGTTTCTTTGAATTTTGTCATATCGTATTAAGCGAAACCCTTTTCTAAATAAATAGTTCTTACTTTATGATGGCTCGGAAATAATCTTAAAATATGTTTTCTATGGAAAAATATTTCCCGCATTTACTTGAAACTTTAAATTTTAAAAATATTTCTGATCTATCTTAGAGCTCATCACGCTTGTCTGGGATCGATTGAGGGAGGCATTTTTCCGATATTGACGTGACAGTGACCTCGGTTGTATCTGAGAAGCGGACGGAGTGCTAAGCGGCGGAGTACTAAACGAAAGCGATGGACAAGTGCAATCTGTCAATTTATCATCGCCAAAGGACGGGGACGGCAGGCAGCGACTCGTTACATTGATAAACGCGACCCAATACACCAAGAAACAAAAAAAAACTCGCATATGTCATGCGTTTGTTTGAGTATCTGTGAGTGTTGGGGGAGCCATTATCTCGTACAGTGGATACCGCACAAGCGAAACTTTCACTCGGGCTACACTCCGTAATAAGCGTTGCTCGCGACACGAATCAATATGCACTCTATCTACACTTGAAATAAAATAGATGATCTATAGGTATTTTGGATAAAACGAAAATAAATTGTAATCATCTTAATTAGGCAAGCATGCCATTAGGTTTCAATCTGTTTTAAGTTTTAAACTTTAATTTTAAAATATAATCAATTGAATTTTTTATTACAAATTAGCTTTATTTTCAAGTGTACACGCTTTGTTGAACCCAAGTAAATATTGGAAGTACACAAAAAGTTAGCCATTCTTAAAAAGAAAGTAAGGGACTTTCCCAATTAAGAGTTCTCTTTTTTCAGAGTGTACTTTGCTGTACATAGACTTGCAGATACGTGGCCCATATAGCCAAAGATACACAGCAAACACTTTGAGATACTTGCAGCAGGCATCGCCTTCGGCGTCATTGGCAGTCCGTCTCCTCTATTCGACACAATTCCAATTTACGACCGACACTCGAACGGCTGACATATGCGGACGGCGACGGGATGGATGAGCTATATAGCTGCTCCCGGAGAACTGAATTGGGCTAGAAAGGAGGGACGCCACAGTGAAACTGCCTAAATGTTATCGCCAGCAATTTTTATTTCCACCAAAGCTCAAAAACAACAGTCAACAGTCAGGGCAGTGATAAGATTTCGAATCGAAATAAAAAAGCCCAGACAAGCAACACACTTGTCTGAGTTCCCGTCGGTCGGGTTGGCCGCTTGGTTGCGTTGTGCCAATTCGGTGGTCGGATTGGCCGATGGTTTTGGTTCCGTTCTACCACCATCGGCGGCGGTGGTGGGTATCCGAGAGATTGCGGCCGGGGTATGCCGCAATCTTTTTGGCCCGGTGTGGAGTGGAGCACTGTCTCTGATTGGACAGTGTAATCAATATTTATAGTTGGATGACTTGCCCAACTAGTTTTACCCCATTATCCGACTCGAAATCAATGCTCTCTGATCTTTTCCCTTTATAGCTCTCTATCTGTGACAGAACCGGGAGGCAAGGGATCTTTTATTGAAGCTTTTATAATACTTCAGCAATAGACCGATGTTATCAACCCATTAAAAATTATTCACTTGGTCCCGGGGGCGCTCTTTATCAATGTCAATGCCACTTCAGTGGAACTTCCCGAAAGCAAAC